CGTGGTCGTCGACCACTGGAGTAGGTGTTACCACCGTGGCCTGTTGTTCCTTCAGAAATCGAGCCATCGCAGCCTCAAAGTAAGACTCCAGTTTGCCATTCGACTCATCTGATCCGGTAGCACTGGTGGTCCGATCGGTCGACTTGGGTTTCTGCTTCCGAGGTCCTGATCGTATGCGTTCCTGACGTTGACTCCGTGATCGTGCGTCCAACATCGCAGATCCTGAAGGACCGAGGGACATCCGTTAAGGTTCAGACGACGTATCCGATACATGTGCCGCTGCGGAGACATAAGGAGACGACGATCGGTACCCAGTGGACTCCATCCGCGGCGACGACGCGGGAGCTGGCGACACTAGATCTGGCACCTTCGGATCCGGACTGTCCGCGATCACGTCGACCAAAGGTCTCAACTTGTCGACCAATGTCTGGATCGCTGTCTGGATCACATCGAGATCCTGATCGAAAAGATCATTCGCTTCAAAGGCGCCAGCCACGAAGCCGGCTTCCTTCAACAGTCCGAGCAGGTTCTTCACCGCCATCAGCTTGTTGTCCATCACTCGGGGGGCCGAGATCAGGCCCTTCGGGTCGTCGATCTGCTCTGGCCGCACGATCACCATGACAGGATCTTGACGCAAGAAATCTCGCAGTTCCTTCAAGTAATACTGACGATCCAGGTCAGCCTCAGACCAGTCGAGCGCCGACGGTCTGGGATCTTCGTCGTCCAAGCCTGGCGCTCTCAGCTTCTTCCTCACGATCTGGGTCTTGTCCGCGATCGCGTCCAGGTAGTCCGCATCGAGCCTGGTCGGCGAGTCAGCGAACGCGTATCGGTCCGATCCCGCCTTAGTTTGTTTTGTTAGTGAATCTCGGTTCGCACCAAGATCCACCGGGGTCCCCGAAGGGACCTGGGGAGGATGTTGAGGTTTGGCTTCTAGATCTGTCTCCAGATCACCCTCGATTCCGTCAACAGAAGTCCTCCGAGCACTCTGTCAATCCGCGGATCTCGTTTTGTTCAGCACCGTCTTCGTTGATCCTATATCCGACGACGCCTCTTCCCCTGGTTCTTTCTTCACTTACACATCTTCTACGGACTCACGGTGAAATCCGGAGGCCCCAAGAGATCCGGGCACGCGCACCATTGTGGTGTAGCGGGATCGGAAATCTGGTTAAGGCCTGATCAAGCTTCCCACCAGCGCCCAGACACCGACTAACGGAGGGGGTCCCCCAACGATCCGTGATCGGCTGAACTTGTTCTCACCTTGTGTACCCGTCGGCGGGCTGGATCTGCTCTCTCGAGGCTCCGAAGATGCAGCACTTGGTGAAGATCGAGTGTCTTGGCGTGACGCGGGGATAGTTTGCGGAGCAGCGCGGTAGTCTTCGCGCTGCGTCCGAGTATACGCTCCGATCGAGGGTTGTTCGCTCCGATCGGTCGGCCTGGAGTTGATCCAAGGCCTGTAGTTGCCTTTCCGGGTGTGTTCCTTCCTTTCCTGAGTTGCTTGCCGCTTCCTATAGCGGGATCGAGGTCGATTGAGAGACGCAGCGATCGCCGGCCAAGCAGTACCCGGTTGATCGAGGGCTTGCACACAAGAGATGGATCACTAGAGTAGGTCAAGCTGGCCAATGTATTAATCCAGTCTTAACCGTACCACTAGCTCACTGTCCAAAAGTGTCGATGCTTACCGAGGCCAATGTAGTTCCTGGGACTTGACGACTTGGGGGACCTGTGCTATTTGGTGCAAATTCTCTTCTCGAGAATGAATCGCAGGGACTCGGCAGTCTTGGATCACGGGTGGGGCCAATTAGATTCCCCACGACGTACGCTGGTCGAGGCCAATATGTGCTTCCTCGCCACGTTTCCAGGCCACTTGCGTTGTACTGCGCAAATTCCCTTCTCGTTTATGTTTAGCTGGTCTCTCCCTACTGCTACCATCTTGATTACCATCCTACAACCAAACGATTACTGGATTCTTGCCCTGGCTTCGCCCCCATGTGCTTCCCATCCGGGTCGATCGGCAATCCACGATCGCCTCCTGATCCACGATCGATCCCGATCGGCGATCGGCGATCAACTCCCGATCGATGACCTGTGCGAGTTGCCGTGCTCTACCGATCCGTCCTCTTCTGGCCTCGGTCTGCGAGATTGGTCGTCGATCCGGGCTTGGGTCTACGTCGAATCACGCCGCAGTCCAAGCGCGATCGCCCGTAATCTGTCTTGACATATGTGTTGCCTTACGCGTCGACGTTATCCAATCGCTTGAGATCTCTCGATAGACCCTCTTGATCCGCGACCACAGCCTGATCCCTGCCTATCGTTCTGCCACCATGTCGCTTGATGTCATCGCAGTTGGAAATTCTTGTTCGGTGCTTCACCACAGATGGACCAGAAGAGGGAGCCGAAGGAGACGAAGCTAATAATGTCAGCAACGAAGAGTCTAACGAACTTCCAGACCAACCGATACCTGATGCAACGGTGGTCCATGGACCGAGTGCTGACGACATCGACCCACTAGCTGTGCAGGAAGAACGGCGCAGGCGCATTGGCGCAGCCCAGGATGAGGAGCTCCGGTGGTCAAACCTCAAGACGGTTCTAAAGGGAGACGAAACGAAGCTTGCCTACAAAGCTGCACGCGAAGCCTGGAAGATGGCTGACAAGTTCGTGTTAAGCGAAGATGGCTTGCTGTATTCCTTGGTGCGAACCGTCGGTGGGGTCGCGACCGGGCCGAGGAGACGACACTACGCCTAGTGGTGCCAACAACGATGGTTCAGGAGATCCTACAGAACTGTCATGACTCGTTGGAGGGCGGTCACTAAGGTATCGTCCGTACCTACCACCGAGTCAAGGCTGACTACTATTGGATTGGCTTGTTCGCCGATGTGGAGAAACACGTACGCTCGCGTCCAGACTGTAGCTCAAGCAAGAGTCGCCCGCAGCTACGTGGGTACTCCCCAGGCAACATTCTGGCCGAGCGTCCGCTACAAATTGTCTCGATGGATTTTGTGATACCCCTACCGAAGACTCGGCAGGGCAATACCGCACTGCTACTGTTTGACTGTGCGTTCACTGGATTTATCATGGGCAAGGCGATGGCGGACACATCTGCACTCTGTGTAGCACAAGCATTCGAAGAGTGCGTGTACCGAAGGTTCGGAGCGCCGTCTCTGATCAGGCATGACCGAGACCCGCGCTTCATGAGGGAGGTCTTCCAAACCTTCGCCGAGATGATGCAGTCGAGATCTAGGGCTACGTTGAGCTATCGGCCGCAGGCTAACGGCCAGCAGGAACGCTCGGTCAAGACCGTAATGCAATTGGTGCGAGTGTACGCGGAGGACCCGCTGCAACAAGACTGGGATGAGATTGTGGAGAAGTTGATCTTTGCGATTAACAACTCGCAGGACGCCACGAGGAAGGACACGCCCTTTTACTTGGTGCACGGATGGGACGCAAGGTCTACCCTCCGAGCAATGTCCTCCTCACTGAAGCGAGGTGTCGGGCGACAGTCCGATGCGTTGGCATGGCGCCGAGAAGTCAACAGGCAGCAGGAAGTTGCGTTGGAAATGGCTAAAGAGTACCAAGCAGTCGAGAAAGCTCGGCGTGCTCAAAAGCATAACGAGGCTTTGAGCCGAGCAGAACGTGCTGCGGTTCCGCCTTCCGCGACTGGCGAAACCTCGGAAGATGATCCGACAGGTGCGGAGGGTGAGGGTGACACACCAGACCCCGCAACGAAGTCTCTCTTCCAGCCTGGTGATCGTGCGTGGCTTTACATGGAACGCGTCAAGCCAGGATTGACTAAGAAGTTGGCTCATCGATGGCATGGTCCCTTCCGCATCAAGCAGAAGGTTGACGAGTATGCGTACGAGTTGGATTTGCCTGACAAGAGTGGGTACTGGTTCTACCCGGTAGTGCATGTGTCCCGGTTAAAGGCGGTTAACGAGTTTGGCGATCGGCCGAAGGCTCGACTTGCTACTGAAGTAACCGAGGAGACGCGACTGGATTTCGACGAGGAGTTACTCCCGGAGGATAGTTGGGAACCCGACCACCTGGCAGGCGAGTATGAGGTTGAAGCCATCTTGGATGACCGAATCCCCCTCTCGACGAGCACTGAGCGAGCCGTCCGAGAGTTCAAGGTGAAGTGGGTCGGCTATGACGAACCCTCGTGGGAGCCCGCGTCGAATCTGTCTTGTGGCGGACTGCTGTATGACTATCTACGCGAGAAACGACGTGACCAAAGGTTGCAAATGGTCGAAGTCGCTGACGAGGACTAGTTGCATCCCTCTCACCATGATGAACTGCCGGCAGGGCTACGCAGCCTGCCCCAGCAGACGAAACATGTTACTGCGGAAGGAAGATTGTATATTTGTATGTTGAAGTGGACAAGACTTTACGAAGTGGAGATCACGACTGGAGAAACTATGGAGAACAGCTGAAGAAGGACAAACGACTACTGATTTCCATGGGCGAGCTCGTTATACTACGAACGAACTGTCTGAACACCCTGATCTAGCTCGATCTAAACATGAAGGAACGATGGAGAATTGGAACGAAGCTTAGGCGTCCGAAGACGAGGCGACCATGGCCAAAACGCGGAGACGCGTAGCCGGAGAAGCTTCGGATTGCGTGGCAGCTTGATCAGCAGCACTTGGAGGCGAACGTGGCGCGTCAGCCGGAGTCTCGCTGGCTGGGGCCTCCTCAACAGGTGCCTCCGAAGCCGTGACGCGACCTTGAACCGAGTTCTGCGTTGCCGTTGCTGCATCTTGAGCTCCTAGCGCTTGTGTAGCTTCGTCCGAAGTCTCTTGAGCATCCACGGCGCGGCGAGACTCGTCCGGAGCCTCTTCCGAAGACTCTTCAGCAACCGGAGACTCGATCTCTTCGATCAGCTCCTCGACCTCCTCCTCTTCCGAGACTTCGTCTTCACCCGGCTGTCCGTCCTCCTGCAGACCGAAAGGAGGCCCGTGAAAGTTCGTGAACTCACGCACCCACGGAGCCGTAGCACGGCGAGGGTCCAGCACTGGGTTGACCGTAATAGCTGTCGCGACTTCACGAACAGACATGCCACGCGGGACGAAGAGTGGAACCCTGGGGTTACACGGAGCGAAGGTTGTGTTGTACGGGTGCTCGGACGGCACATCGGTGACGCACCAAGCCGACCATCAGCTGAGCGAAGTTTGCGAAGCGTCGTTCCGAATGTTCGCGGAGCTCTTCGACCTCAGCCTGCACCTCGTGGTGGGCGATGTCTTCGACAGCGTACCACTGCGCAGAAGAACGCGGAGGAAGTCCCAAAGCCTCGTGCGCAGTTGCAGGCAGCGGGTCACCCGTGCGGCAGAAGTGTGCAGCATTTGACGAAGGCTCGTGCAGAGGACTGGAGTCGGGCGAGGACCTGAGGACCAGCTGAGTACACGCAGGGTCCGACGAAGCCCCGCTAGCAGAAGGCAAAGCAGGAGTTGGTAACGCCTGAGCCACTGCACTCGAAGCCGAAGCCTCCCTAGCGGGTGCAGCCGAAGCTTGGCTTGCGACGACTGAAGACGCGGCCTGGAGACTGCCCGCCACCCCGCGTGCTCCTGCAGAGGCGGGAGTTGGTGACGGCGCAGCTCCGGCGCTACCATCAGCACCAGATGATGGCACCGCAGCTACTGGAACAGCAGCCGAAGCCTGGGGCCGTCGAGAGGCGGGAGTTGACGCCGCCAAGGTCTCCGAGGCTGGCGCAGAAGGGTCGACGACGTGCCCCGCCGGGCTGAGGAATGATGTGTTCTGCAGCGAGACGCAGCATGTTGAAGACGGTTAGACACGATGAAGAGATCAAGCACAAGACTCAGGCACCTCGCGCGAAGGCTGGACGACTGGACCAAGGTCCAGGAAGGTGAAGGGCGGCGCGCTGTCAGGACCGCCGGAGGACTGCATGGCGTCGGAGCGCAGAGAGGCACGAAGGCAACACGGCACTCACCACTTGGGACGGCTCGGGCCAAGTTGGGGGCCGCTGTGAGATCGGGAAATGACTGCGGCCGGGCGAGTTCCGGCCGAGGTCTAACTGCCTTGAGCTTGCGAGAGATGGCTGACCGAGGGCTCTGATTGGTCGGTCACATTCCCCGCACTTTAGTGCCCAGAAGATTGATAGAGACTACGGAGTGATAGGAGGGTCTCGGC